CAGAGGTCAACAGAACTAGCTGAAAGACAGGCGAAACGATGGACCCGCATAGTGTGGTGGTGAACGCGTTACTCCCCGGAAAGGACAAAAGCGCGTTCGTTCCCCACCATAGACACCTGCGGTCCAGAATTTTGCAAATATCTCAGCAACGTTGTGGTTGCATTTCGCTTAGTACTCTGCCTCGAAATTACAGTAGGCAGAAAATAAAAAGGTATAACATTAGGATGGAATTATTTATCAATGGTTTATTTTAGATTAGGGGAAATAAAAAATTAACGAGGAAAAAATCAACGCATTGATGCCGATGTCTAGTTTTGTGTTAGCATGGAACGACTCCAAATTTTCATACGTTGGGAGTAATATATGACTCATTACAGGAGACACCTGCGGTCTGCAGCTTTGCAAATATCTCAGCATCATTGAAGTTATATTTCGCAATATACCCTGCCATCAAAAAGAGTGCATAGTAAACAATAAGTTAAAATTCAGAAGACATTGTTCAACCGCTCTGTGGCTAACGCACAGTATTCTCGACGTGGCTGAAGTATCAGCTCACGTCTCCACGGAATAAAAGAGCATTGGAAAGAACGTTGAATTAAAAAGGTGGATGTGGAGCTTTGGGTGCTTTATTTGGCTGATGGGTTCCATGAAAGACCCGAATGCAGTCCAGGCTGCTCTCCTTCTTCTAACTCCTCCTTCATGTTGTTTTTGATGTTCACTGGCCTGGTCTTCCAAGGTATACGTACGAGATCGTCTCTGCAAGCAGTGAACTATACAGTTTGATCTGATTACCTTGGCACCATGGGTTTTTCTTGAAGTGGATCTTCTTCAAATTTACGTTTAGTCCGGTCTTTTCCAGCTTCTCTGAGCTCATTGACCGTTGCCTCTGTTTCGCTGGTATTTCTTAAGTTGACGATATCGGCCAAACGAAGGGTTGATAGACATCTTCCATCAACACGTATGCCTTTCTCATCCTAATCGAGTGACTTCATCATCCACTACAGTGTAGAACTAAAAAGCTCTCGTGAAATTGTGTCGCCTTGCGAACCCATTTTCTTACGGATGTGGTAAGAGGTCGATGAAAAAGCTATATTTTGGAGTGGAGTTCCGATAGCAGTCCGACAGAGTTCTTATGTAGGACGGGTCCACTCCTTAGTCCGCGAGCGCTGATAGGATTGCATTCGTTTCGACACTGTCAAACGCTTTTTCATGCGCGAAAGAGACGGTGATCGGGACCAGTACAAATTGACGGAACTACCGATCCGTCAACTAGATGTTACCTTCTATTTGTCAGAAAATGGTTGATCTCCGCATGAGTCATGCCGCTAGGGTACTCCCATTTCCAGCGGTTACTTTCTTTTTTCTGCAAAAACGATAAGACGATTGCAGTACAACAGACGAAAAACGGGAAGAGCGACATAAGCCAATTAGATGACAGGACCCTTGTCATTCGTGGAAAGAACTTTCCGTTACGAAATATCGGAGGCGTTGGCTTTGTCGTACACCCATATATTTCCCATGTAGTCACTTCATTCGAAATCCTATCACAGCACTTTGCTTTCTTCGTCTCCAATATCCACGTCAAAAGAAAGTCGGTATCATTAACTGCTACTTACCAACTTGTACAGCTATTGAGCGTGAACTGCACTCATTCTAAAACCAGTTAAAGGAAGTAATCTGCAAAAAAAGTCCTGCAAATCCATTGTTGCAGACTTCTAGCAAACCCTTGCTATACCCATATTGAACGGTATTCGACAAGTCGATAGCATCTTGCTACAGCTATTCACAGCCCCATGGCAGTGAACAACAAATTTACTCTATTGAGACGAGAATGTGCCTATGGAAAAATCCTATTGAATCTTAGTTCTTTGACGACATCGTCTTTTCAAGGCTTACCATTGAACCAGTGACCATGCTCAAAAAACTCAACGAAGAGGAAAAAAGAATTGGGCTACGCTTAAATGGGACGAAGACATAATTTATGAAGAACGTATGGTGCAAAAGCGAGGAATTAAATTCGGTAGCCCTGGGATTACAAAAACCATCACGAGCATTTACCTTGAACGCTCAGTGGAAATGGAGAACAAAAAAGGAGAAATAAGATAGAAGAAGGAGAGAAGCATGGGCCAAATTTGGTTTCGTCAATGTACCACCGACCATCTGGCGGACCTAAACTTTGCGCTCATCTTCTCAACGCAACACCCCTCTCAGCGCTCTGTTATGCAGCATAGACGTAGGCTGACACTTCAACCACGTCAAGAACGCTGGACCAATCCACAGAAAGATCTTACTATATCCTCTGAAATTTAGCCGGCGCTCACATCGAATAGCAGGAATGCGCAGATCAGATCTTCGAAACATATACCACCTTAGGGACCCAGGAGAATACATATCGGTAGCGAAACATGAATGGCGCAGGCATATTCTTTATCTTTCATTTCAGTGTATCTTTTACTAAAGACGTATTTGTAATTATTATTCCTCTCATATAACCTATTGCGTCATGAATTACTTCACACAACGCCCGCGTGCCTGCTGTGCATAAAGATTTCTTCTTAACCATCAGGCGTCCTACTGGCAACGGCTCAATAGTTGGGGTCTAGCTCTTTCACATCGCCTCCTGCTTAATATTTCCTTTCACAACTCATTTGCTTAGGTCGAAATAATATCAATTCTTCTGTCATCAACATATCAAAGTTACCATCAACTGTCATGTAGCCACCACGTGTCGCTAGTGTAACAATTGGCTCAAATACTTGCACTGTTCGTAAGTACTCTTCACCGCAGAATTCTCTTCATCATGGCTAGAACAACTCCGTCATCGCTATCACATTCCTGCACTCTGGTCACATAAACTGTTACGCTGCTGCAGTTGTATAAATATTGTTGCGTAAACAGTATTTCCTAATTATATCTCATACCCTCACAAACCTGCTGCATAATGTTCTACATCATTGTTAGTGCAATATGTTAACTATTTCACTGCCCACTGAACCAATTTGCGTTATAATTTGTGTACATATATTTCTATTCTCACTGCATTGTAGTGCAAATATTATACAAACAAACGGTTTAATTATCCGAGTTCAAGGTTTGGCATATCGCTACAGATCAAGAAGACGCGTATAGCAGATCCCTCACACAACACCAACGAAAACTTCACTATGTTTTTTACTCTTGCTAGGCAATACCTCTTTATTATTTGTGGTTCTAGTGAGAAATAACCATAGGAAGCCTAGTTGGCCTTCGAAGCCGTGATTACCCTTTCCGTGGCTCACGTGTTACCTACTGCCCCACTGAAGCCCTTGCTTTCCTTTCTCTCAGCCGGTTTTTTGATTGTTGATAGCAGTTAGGGTGAGAAAATGGCTCAGAGGAAAACAAAGCAAGGAATCTGGTGGTAGAGTGGATAGCATGTAAGTCCCCGAAAAGGTAATCCCGAGTTCCAATGGCACTGATGTTCCTAGTTTTGCTCATTATCATTGTGATTGTGTTTCACATACTATTTTGCCATGAATGGAACAAATTGTAGCCAAAAAATGAGAGCTAAACATAGGTAGCTTGTTGAGTTTTGGATATAGATTGAGTACACCTGACAAAACGGTACTGTTTAGGAGTACAGCAGCACTCAGTTGACCAATCGGTACACCACCGCTGGCAAAGTGCACGCCAGATATGCTTCATTCACATCTAACGATGCTTGATGAAGTTGAATGCACGACGCAACTCTCAAGGACTGATCAATGCCGATACCTTTGTCTCTTTAAATACTGGTACCATTTGCAGTGAAATCAAAGCACACTGTCTGCTATCTTAAGATTATATTAAGCAGAAGGTTATTAAAGGTTGAGGCTCATTTATGAGAATTGTTGCGAGGTGGAAATAATCGACAGACTGAAGAATGTGATTTACACTGCGAAAGGAAACAATTTATCTTATCACTAATCTCATTATACAACAAGGACATACATCTTTGATCGAGAGTTGTTTTGGGAAAATCTTTTACATCTTAGAAGTAACTTAAGTAGAGGCATGATGAAATACGAATTAACGGAATCCAAATTAACTGAATTGGACCAGTTCCTAACTGCAAAATGCATACACTGTATTTAAAGTACTCTGGTAATCGAACATAATCAATGCTATCGCATCGTCGTATCCTATGACAAATCATGATTCCGATTCGTTCTTTTATGCAAGGAAACCAAAAACTCCATGAACGGTGGAGACAAGAATGATAAAAAAAAAGAGAACATTCGCATTCACTATAGCTAGAATGAACTTTAATAATAGGACTAATGCTTAGCAAAAGGAATTGAAAGCTATAAACAATCATACTCAAATAACATAGAAATAAATAAATAATTGAGCAAAACCACTTTAAATGGCAGTTTCAGTATGAAACTGGAATCAACACGATCGAAAAGTGTGGAAGATCAGGATGAAAAACTCGGAATTTTAACTGTTCCTATGAAAAACAGAGATCAAGAAGGGTGTAATTAAACCCCTACTTAGGAAGAACATAAGTTTTTCAACGTAATTTATGGTGAAGAAAACCATAGAGCTGTTACATATTAACTGACACAAACACTAACAAAGACAAACGTATAGCTCACATGAGGAAGAGAATGCCCGTATGGGGAAACACAATAAAACGACACTTCTCAAGGTGAAGCTTGTGTCAGCGCCAGAGTATGCCGAAAGGAAGGCTTAATCACTCAAAGTTTGATCTTTTTCTGGTAGCCGATCTCATTACTGATACAGTCGTACAGATGAAACTGAAAACTTTTGCTTGGAACAACCGTAAAGCTGTGTTGAACACTTTTTTTCATTTTTTCAACAAAAAAAGGAAACACGAACCTCATCACTCCGACGTTTTATCGCCACAGAACAAATGTGCGAGGAGGGTGAAAAATCAGGATTCTAGAATGCAAGGTAAAAAAAATTTAAAAGAAAATACGTAACAAAAATGCAAGAATTGCACCATCACACTGTGTGCAAAACTATCGCTCAAGTGTGTGCCCATGCTAAACAATTTCATAAACAAAAAATAAGCGGTGCAATATGAAAAACTTGAAAACTATAGCATAGCAATATATACATTATAACATGTTACCTAGAAGCCCAATTAACATTTCCTTAACTTTTTAAAAACAAGATTTCTCTGGCGAACACATGGAAAAGTGTAAAAACTTACATATGTCTTGAGATCAGAATATTTATTGTTGCCAAGAGAAAGGAAAATCTGATCACTTTCACCAGCTAGAACCGGTTGTATGGTTGAAGAATTGGTAATATCACAGCTCGCAGACAAATTATTGACACACGATGATGCTAGTGTCGAAGGATCAAACATGGGAGCTTGTGCACTATTATACAAGCTGAAAATAGTGTACTTGAAACATTCCAGGTATTTTGAAGCACTACGTGCATTCAAATACTAACCAATTTCGAAGTAAAGATTCAGTGGGGTCAGAAGCCAACAAAGTCTCCTCCCCGTCGTTAGCTGACTCCGATACAGATGAATACAGCGAATAAAGAGAGATTGTCGACACACAAGGTTTCTCATCCAATCGACTGCCAGCTTCATTGCGACCTGTGAGTGAATGGTGATTAAGATCAACAGCCCATGAAATTTAAGCGGACACAAGAAGACAGAGCAGATAAAAAAATGATTTTGACATATGACTCATCCCACCATTACCAATTTTACTTGTTAGCAACAAGCTTTTTATTAGGTTGTAACATATGCCATGACCGATTTTAGATACGAACTTCAAGTAAACATAACTTTTTTCACATCAATTCTTATTAATCGGAATAAGCACCATTAGAATCAGCACATTTTTCAAACAACGAATAAGTTTTGTGATTCTATTAATATAAAAATTGTCGGTTCTAGTGTCGATGTACTCTTTAAAGAAATTTTCAACAGTTGTTTGGTCGTTAAGGTTCTTTTCGTCAGAAAGTGGTCCATATAAAAAAAATAAAAATCCGCTAAGTGAAGACAAAAATGGACGTGGTTAATTTGGGGAATAGAAAAGGGACTTAGTTACATGTAACTCGTCATGTATGTATTCGCATGTTTTTGCAACTGCAATTGGGTGAGAGCATTTCCATATTTCTCATAACCGCTCATTTCATACAATAAAATGATTCATCAAAAAAAAATTGAAGTAAAATGAATGCCAACAACCAATAAAATTACTCGCCAAAAAAACTTTTCTTCTACAAATCAATAACCGTAGAGAATAACTCTCCATAGACATCTGCGCCCCATAAACTACCGAGTGACAAGTGTATGAAAAAAACCTTTATGCTAAAATGAACCGCTAGAAAAAAACGACATTTACAGAGGTCAAAGGGCTCCGTAGCTATTGAAAACTACACACACACACACACACACACACACACAGAGTGAAGCAAGTTGTTGGCATTGCTTTATCGGTAATCGCTGATCCAGGTTTACTACGGGTAACGTTTCGACTGTTTCGTCTTCATTAAAGCGACGATGATTAAGTCAAGTATCCAAGGCAGTTGTTTGTTCTGGCGATTTTCATCTCTTGTAGCTTTCGCGTCGAGAAGAATCGAATAGAGGGAAGCAATACTACTGTGCTGACATTACTGAACTACAATACACCAGGTAATATTAGGCCGAAGGATGGATTGTCACAATAAAAGGAACAATTTTGGTTGGAAATCGACCAAAGACCTTCTTTTATCCAGAGTGATTGTTCTTTGAAGTCGGATCACTACGGCACGGAAAATCTGAGTATAAAACCAACAGTGCTGGGGAACGTCAACTGATTAGAGCAGTGCTCCCCTCTACTCGATTCGTCTCGACAGGTCAGCTACGAAGACCAACATCGGAAGTAGAAATTGTGAATAGTCGACTCGAATCATCGCCACTCTGATGAAGGCGGAATTGCCGAGAGTTATCAACAATATGGGAAATTGATTATCCGCGCTGGGGTTCAACAAATGTCGGCGTTGATATTATTAGTTGTTAGGCTTTGCTACCAAGATAACAACGACGATTAAGTATAATTCAGCTTTTGTACACCACATTTGTACATTTATAATGAACTTTTCACAGCTGCTGTGTCCAACATAGGAGGTTAGGAACGACGACTTTTTAGAAACCACAACAATAATTAATTCCCAGAATAAAGCATAATGTTGAGATTTTCTAGGCAGCTTTAAAAAACATGAATTTAGATTCTCTAATGTCAACGCATTAACTTATACTCTCACTCTTACTAGAATTCGGACTCCGTTATGTCATAAAAAAGTCAGTTCTGAGTGACGTCCCAAATCGATTTCTTGTACTTCGAACGAGACAGTACTAATTAATCTTTTGATGTTTATGCCTCACTAATAGTCTACGCCCAGATATTTTTAAAGGTTGAATTTAAACGCTTATAATGCTAGTTCAAATTAAAATATTAAAACATAAGCAAGACGACTTAAGACTACTATAGAAGCACACCTGAATCTATAGATTCGAATGTCAGTGCGTCAGGAAGGGCTGTGTCGTCAGGTACCGCGGCAGAATCCAACCAAATGTTATGCTAAACATTGATCATTCGTACAGCTTAGCTAAGAAATGTGTAGTTTAAAATGGTCAAAAAACCGTTCCTCCCAACGGTTTACCGCCACATCGCCGCTGGGAGGTGTTTCTGGCTGTTGAGCTGCAATGTACAGCGGGGAAACATCCCCTGGCAGGGTCTCCCAAGCCGAGAAGGAGTAAAGCGTTTCCGTCAATAAGCTTAGCTAAGCGTAAACCAATATTAGAATCCACCACCATCCTGGTATCAAAGTCGAACTAGTCGTATGGTGGCAAACCTACCTCTTATCCACAAGGACTGCGACTGCCTGTGGCGGTAACGACCTAGGGCAGATGACTTCGGCAGTACAAAGAAACACAATGGCCATACCAGCAGAACTCCGAAGTAATGGAGATTATGCTGGGACCCGCACATCAGTGAAAACGGGTCATCAAAGTACCAAAGTATGTAAGTAAAAAACTAATACAATAAAATACGCCGAATACTTTTAAACCTTCTTCTTCAAATATGTTCAGGCACAAAAAAAACACGTAGTGGTTGTAACAAACGCTCCACTTACAACATCAGTCATATCATCGTAGGGTACCATAACTTCGCCATCATCCAAGTCCTCATCCATAATATCAGAATGAAGGGCAAGATTTTGGTCACCATGAACAGTAGAATCAGCATCTCTCAACTCATCGTGCTAAAGAAACAGTTCTACAAGGAACTTTTAACATATGGACAAGCTTCTTATAATAGAATAACACGTACACTTTCGATTTTAGTGTCGCTTCTTCTTGTTACAAATTCTTCATCTTCGGCCTTCTTTCTACATAGGTCATTGACAAAGTTCTTGATCAAAAGCCTAAATTTAATACCTACATTATTGAAAGAAATTCACTAGTTATTCATTCTCTATTCTTTATAAGCTACCAGACAATTAGGTATATGCTTGCATCACCAGGAACCCAATTATTTAACGACTCCAATAATCACACACCAAGTTACTAAAAATCCTCTTCACGACCACAATAAGCATTACAGTTTACTTTGGAGTTCTCCATTTTCATTTTTCTTGAGAGTCTAACCACTGGTAGCGGGTGTGTTCTCAGCTTCCTAACTACCAGTGTGCACTAATACACGACCCAATCAAGTCTTTCATCTTTTTGAGGCCCCTAAATTCACAGCACGTCACAGAAAAGCCTCAATATAATATTATATATATACATATATATTTGTATACATATATACGTGTATATACATATATACGCACATATTCATGCTTGTATCCATGTATACATACACATACATCTATAAATACATACACATGTGTACCTATATGTACGAGCAGCAAGCGCGGTAGCAGCGATGTTGATCATTACCAACATGGTGCTGGTTCGACTCAAAACCGGCCTCATCAAGATGTCATCCCTGCGGGGTCGAAAAATTGGCACGACTTGTTCAGCAAAAACTCGCTTACTGCAATCCAAGTGGGACTGGCCTCTCCTTGCTACTTAAGGAACCTAAGGACTCCAGCGAGAATCGTCTTGACCAGAATTCAATGACATTTAAGAAGAAGTCGACGATCCTTAAGCAGTAGCCGAACAAAGATATGAAAAAAATCGAAGACCTTACCCACCAGGGATGACGGATGCGAGGAAACGAATAGAATGTAAGAAGTGCTGGGTTCTGCATAGTAAATACGAGGACAAGTCCGTAAAAGACATATAAGTACGTGAATATATATATACATATATGGATATATATATATACATATTACATAAGTACGTTCAGAAATAATTAGCACAATAACACACCTTTTCCTCATCGCCATCCCGCCGCAACCAGCTTTTCTTTTTTCGGTCTTGTCACTAACTTTATCAATAGCTAAGCTACACAGATGCTTGAACACTTCTTCGTTCAACATCGCAAACGAATCCATTCCCAGCACTCGCCTGAAAAGCTGATTGAAACGTGTAATCCTTGGATAAACGCAAATGAGCGAATAGTAAATGCTACTACGACGTTTGTAGGATGGAAAGGTGAGCAACCGTTAACTTGAGCACGTGCTAATCTTAAAACTGTAAAAAACACATAAGTACAACATACATAGGTAAAGTGAAGCAAAATACACGCTAGGCAACGGTAGTTGATAGTGTGCTACCAAAAAATATACCTCACCTCGTAAGTTTAAAGTCAAAACATGCAAACCTTTAAAAACGTCTATTCTCTGCGTGAATACCGCAGTAGACATTTGTCCCAGGTTAGCCGTTGTGTAGGTCAAATAATGGTGGAAAAGTAGCGCTTCGTTTACGTTTCGTTTTTTTACAAAAACAACTGCGAAGCCCCATAGTTGCTGTTATCACCGAGATAAAATCAACCCAGCTAGTATATAACCTTAAATGACAGAAGACATTGAAGAACATCTGACAGTCCCTTAGCATTCTTAGAACGGGCCTATGTGAGTTCCATTTGAACCAAGAAATGGATTTGCTGTAGAACCCACTGCCCGACTGTTTCCTAACACTTCATTTACACTTCGCAACCTCCATTATTGTGAACCTGAGAACCCGGCAAGCACTCCCGAGCTGAAAAATTGTCCGGTGTTTCTATCAAGAAGCCTAGCTAAGAGTAAACCAATACCAGAATACATCAATGTCCTGGTATCAAACTAGTACCATGGTGGCAAATTTCCCTCTGATCCACACGAGCAGCGACTGTCTGTGGTGGTGACGACCTCGGGCAGACTTTGGCCAGACTGACTTCGGCACTAAAAGGAAACACAATGGCTAAACCAGCAAAACTCTGAAAAGTGGAGAATATGATGAGGCTGGCATAAAAAGTGAGGACGGGCCATCCAAATATCCCAAGCAAGTAAATATGATTATGAAAATAGTCAATACACTGAATTTTAGATTATCTGGGTGATTAATTATAGCCGGAGGAGATCCAAACTCTGCTATGGTCACCTTAGCTAGGGAAAACCTATGGGGAATCAATGCAATGACCAAAACCAAACCACGAATTTCTGCTACTTAAATTAATTAATCTACTACTACCTAAATTTCCTGCTACTACTTACTTCTACTACTACTACTACTACACATAAACGTATCAAATATTAAATACAAGGTGGTGGAAACTGAAAACTTCCAGGATCTTATGGCGCTTCTCTTCAACTTAAAAAAAAGACGACTTAAAAACGCTACCGGAAGACCTTACCATTTAAGGAGTAATTATATGCTAGTGGCCGCACAACATTGAAATAACCTCCTAAGTAGCTAATAAAGAGATTGAGGCTTGACTTATACTAAGACATGACATGCTAAGTAAGCATATGTCAGATGAATGCAATGCGTTCTTGGATTGCTATGCTGACACCAAACTGATAAAATTATTTATTTCACTAACGTTCCGATATCCTCCCCCTCATCAGAGCCGATGTGCACAGTCGCTCGTCTTCTCGATATCGTGTTTTCGTCGCCTTATCGAATCAAATCGTCATCAGTACAGCACCTCTCGGATGAGGGGACTTCATCTGACAGCACTCTTTGATATGGAACGGTTTTTGTTAACAATTATTGTTTGTCAATAATAACTTGTGTTTCCGCAGCAAATCCATCCTGCAGCAGTCGGTATTATGTGAAATAGATGAACGCTGTGGAGCACCAACTCGGATCATCGGTTTTGAGAAAGACGAAGACGTCAAAACGTTGACAGGATACAGTTTATCAACCTCGTGTAAGTTTAACAACACAAGGCACTGATTGTTAATTCCAAGGTTAAATGACAACCTGTTCGAAAAATATGACATATAGCAACGCCAACGGAACTACTCTTACGTTTTCATTTAAATTTTTGATTATCCGAGAGTGATAATAGGGTATACAGTTTCACTGCAACGATCATATTGCCGCACATACTTGATACTTGAAGGGCCCTTCCTCACTGCTTCTATAGGTCACGCTGACCAAAGTCGGCTCCAGGTCGTCACTACCATAGGCGGTCGCCGACCATGTGAATCACAGGGAGATTTGCCACCATGCGACTAGTTTGACACCACGACGGTGGTGGATCTTAGTATTAGTTTACTCTTAGCTAGGCTTCCTGATGGAAACGGTGGACTCCTTCTCAGCTTGGGAGACCCTGCCGGGAGAGAAACCCCCGCTATACATCGCAGTCCGGCACCAAGAAACATCTGCCAACCACGATGAGGCGGTAAATCACTGGGAGGCAACAAATATAAGTAATATCAAACACAACGCAGAGTTTAACCGCAACCTTTTCTTACGAAACTATTCTCTAAAAGCCCTTTTGCAAGACATGAGCAGTGAAGAATACCAATATCCTAAGACAAAAATACTCCCGAAGAACCTGTACAATGGGACTGACATTCATTCATTCATTCAATGACATTCATAATGACGACCTACTTCACGTAAGAAAAAACGACCACTGAACGTGGGTTATTCTATGAACAAAAGATTCCACCCAGTTAACACTTTTGCATTGCAGCTTACATTACTTCAAAAAAAAAACCATTCTTGTCAAGCAGTTGGACACTTAATATCATATTGCTTCGGCTAACGAGTTCACAAGTGTTTTTGCACTAACACCTTTCTTGAGCCAGCAACTTCCTTGAAGCAGCACTTTCCTTGAGCGAGCATCTTGCTTGAACCAGCACTTTCTTTGATATCGCTTTCGCAGCACAAGAAACAGTTGTTCCATTGTTTCACGGCTATGGTCATGTTATTGTTTTGTTTTGAGGAAAATGACTTCACTGACTTTCCTAATAGTACGTGGAGTTCGAAACATTTTTGAGGAAATAAGCAGCAAACCACGTGAAACATGATTCCTCCAGAAAACATTCCAGAAGCGCCAAAAGAACTGCAAACGAAACCCTGAATATTCCCTTTCTTCTTGATTGATACTTTCTAGAATAGGGAATATCAAGCTGAAGGTGTAATATCCCACACAAAAGCCGGCATATTGCTAGCAAATGGGCGAGCCACTAAAGAATATGCAGTAAAGTATAATGTTATGCATAGAAACGCAACCAGATTTCCCTCTTCTATTCACTATTACTGCCTTTTGAGAAACAATACGACCTCCCTGTAGCACGCGATTTCAGGTTTCGACAAACATTTAGCTTCTGTATGAATCATATTCTCCTACGTCGCCATAAAAACTTGCGTATTAAAGCAAGTAGTGGGAAGCGGGTATCACAGTGGTAGTGATGCCACCTATCATAAACACGGTGCCCGCTCGATCCCGTCTCGGAACCACCAAACCTCTCACCCCCGCGAGGCCGAGATATTACCATCAGATTTTTCAGGGAACAATGCACTTCCTGAAATTCAAGTGGGGACTCTTCAACGCTGGTTTAACAGGGCTCCAGTGATAGTGGACTCGACCATCATTCAACAACATTCCTTTAGAGGACAAAATTCCTCACGTTGCACCTGAACCCTAGCAGTTCGAAGGCCTTCATGGAAGACAGATAGAAGAAGCGAGTCGACTGTAAAACGGATAAAAATGCAAATATTGAGGCCTATATACCAATTAGCAAAAGTGGGAAACTCAACGAAGTTTTGCAAGGGATATATCTAAAGCCTCAGTGTTTAACCCTTAACCCTTAAGGAAATTCCAAAATAAAAAATAAGACTCACTGCCAATAAATGCCTGAGAATGAAACACAGACGAAATTCATAACGTAGTGAGAAATACGAAGTGCAAAAAAAAACTACTATCCTCATCAGGTACTTCAAAACTGCAATAGATAGAACGAGTCTATACAAGCACGTGGAAGTATTTTGCCTTGGTATAGGAATGGGCCGATTCACACCACCCCATTCGGGCTTCGAACAACAACTACGGTGTGAAACTAGAGGTGATGTTCCTCTAATTTTACAGTAACACTCGCTTCCGTGGAATTACACAAAAACACACCGCGTTTCAGAACCAGCCCACACCCAAACCAGATGACACGAATGGCGATGAATTTCGAACGAAGCAAAAGCATACAGTGAAGCATATCTCTAACATCAATTCGACATGACTAGCTCATGGTCACCTTCGGCAGAAGGCAAACGTGGGGATCAAACCAAAGTACGGCTTCACGACACCGTAGGAGGAACAAGCGCAATGGTGCACGGTGCTAGCGCACAGACGACCGACTCGACAAACCCTGCGTCTCTGCCGATCGATGCAACCCGGCAGGGGCGTGACTCACCCGGGGACACGACTTCGCCGGCGTCTCCCGCGCGGGGCTCAGGGGCTGCTTGGCGCGGTGCGGGTGGGGGCAGTTACTTTTAGTTTTAAGTGAGACCATTGCTAGAAGTGGTGTAGTTATATTGGCCTTATTTCAAAAGATTCCATGTTGTAGTTTAAACTACTTTCATGAGATATTCCTGGATAAATCTGTTTCTTCTTCGGTGTGCCACAGCACATCCCCTTTTTTAATTCGTGGTCCTATTTTGTGGAAGTTTGTTTCTCGGTCGATGACGGCGAGGAGTTGTGATTCCAGAATCTTAGTGGTCAGGTAGCACAACTGATGGGTGTCATAGACAAGTTTGCTTGTAAGTGATAACTGACGTTCTTATGAACATGTCATTTTTAGCTTTTCTCTATCGTTTTCGCTTTCACATTCGCCAGATGGTCAATTAGTCCACCATGTAAACGATTCGGTGTAGTTTTTATCGGTCCACAATGTCAGTTTATGCTTGCTATGGAGTGCATGCGTCTAGCGTCTCAGGTGTTGCGGAAGGTCATCAATGCAGCTGAAGTACCAGAACTCGGTTAGAAAAAGACTAGAGAGTTTTTTAACTTGAACAAATCGATGCTAAGATACCCATCCGTCAGCTGATCGATGAGTTCTTCGAGGCTCGTACATAGACAATGCTATTCTTCGTCTTCTACACAATTTCTTATTGTTCCTCACAT